CAAGCCTAACAATTATATAACACAATATATAATTTTAACAAGAATGTCTTCAGCAAATTTCTGGGACCAGGGCACGGGTGACTCGATTGTCGTTGTAGAGGGTACGACTGGGTCCTGTCCGTAGTTGAGGAAGAATGGAGATTGGTTGGTTGTGGCTGAGGTCGCGTTATTATACCCGAATTCGAACAGCGGAAGGGATTTCTCCCATGTCGATGGGTCAGTACAGGTAGTACGAATCAGTTGCTCCATGGTCTGGTTGACGCGTTCGGTCTGCCCGTCGTCTGTGGGTGGTAGGCGGATGAAAATTGGAGTTTGGTGCCGAATTGGTCCCATAGGTGGCGCCAAAAATTCGATGTGAATTTCGGGTCTCGATCTGAAATGATGGCGGAGGGTAGTCCGTGCAGTCGGATGACGTTCGTGAGGAACAGTTGCGCGGTTTGTTCGGCGTGATTGTCTGTTGGCAGGTGATGAAGTGCGCCATTTTCGTGAGTCGGTCAACGACCACGAGGATGGCATCGTTTCCGCTGGGACCGGCCGGTAGTCCTGTCACGTAGTCCATCGTGACTTGTTGCCAGGGTCGCTCGGGCGGATCCAACGGCTGTAGTAGTCCGGCTGCGCGCGCTGCGACGATTTTTAATATGGCAGGCAGTGTAGGAGGACACGTACTTGCGCACGTCGTCGGCCATCTTCGTGGTTTTGTCGACGCCGAAATGTCATGAGGTAGGGTTGTCGTGGGATTCCTGGATAAGGAGGGTACGAAGTAGATTGTAGCCTGGCACCCAAATGCGATAAGTACAGCGCTTATGAAAATATGGCCCGGTGGCTGTGGTATGCTGTTGATGGATGACTGAGCGGAAAAAGTGATCGATCTTGTAGCCGTGGGTGAATAGTCCCGTAAGTAATGGGTTGGTCTGGGCGATTAGTATCACGGCGGTATGGACAGTAGGCGGGTCAAGGCATCGGCGATATTAGTGGCACCCCGTTTGTAGGTGATGGTGTAGTGGAAGTTGGACTCGAGGAAATCGAGCGATCGGATCTGTCGCGGGTTGAGGTTCGGTTGGGCGCGCAGATACTGTAAGGATTTGTGGTCCGTCCGCACCGTGACATCAGCTCCGGTCAGGTAGCACCGCCAGGTCTTGAACGCGTGGACGATCGCCAACATTTCCTTGTCGTGTACTGTATAATTCTTTTCTGCGCCATGCAGCTTCCGTGATTCGTAGGCAACTGGTTGTAACCCGTCGCCAAAGTCCTGGAGGAGAACTGCACCGATGGCGATGTCGCTGGCGTCGGTGACGACTTCGTATGGACGGTCGAGATCGGAGATGTGAAGTACGGGTGGCGACGTGAGGGCGATTTTGAGTTGGTCGAATGCATTTTGCTGCTTCTCTCCCCACCAAAAACAGTCGTGATCCTTCAGTCGGTCAGTTAGTGGAGCAGATAACCCAGCCATATTGGGGATGAAGCGGCGGACGTAGTTGACGAAACCCAGAAAACTCTGCAGTTCTTGAGGTTGGTCGGCGGCTTCCATTCCTGTATAGTCTTGATTTTCTTGGGGTCGATTTCACTCCTTCGGTAGAGACGACGTGGCCCAAAAACTCCAACTCTTGCTTAAGAAAATCGCACTTAGATCCTTTCGTGATGAGGCGATTCTTGTGCAGCAGCGTGAAGACTGCATCAAGATCCTTTAAGTGCTGCTCCCTGTTGCGGCTGTAGATTAGGATGTCGTCGAGGTAGATAATTACGCATTTATCCAGGAGTTCGCGGAAAACACCGTTCATGGTCATCTGAAAAGTCGAGGGCGCGTTCGTGAGGCCAAAGGGCATCACCAGGTATTCGTAACTGCCGTAGCGGGTTCGGAAAGCGGTTTTGTGACAATTGTCGGCGGCGACGCGAATTTGATGGTAACCTCCTCGCAGGTCGATTTTCGAGAAGAACTTGGCTCCGCGAAGTTGGTCGAGGAGATCGTCGGCTCGCGGGATCGGGTAACGGGACTTGATGGTGATCCGGTTGAGCGCGCGGTAGTCGATGCACATGCGGAATCCTCCATCTTTTTTCGGTGTGAACAGTATCGGGGCGGCGTATGGGGACGTGCTGGGTCGGATAAAGCCTTTCGACAGGAGGTAATCTAATTGCTGCTGCAATTCTTCGAGTTCCGGTTGGCTGAGCCGAAATTGTTGCTGTACTGTCGGTTGTGCGCCTGGTTCCAGCTCGATGCGATGGTCTTCGGGTCGGCTCGGCGGAAGTCCGGCGGGTAGGTCGTCCGGGAAAATCTCGGGGTATTTTCGAATGAGCTCTGCTAAATCCGGAGGAACGGCTTCACACAGTTTCGTGATATCTTCCGCTGTTATCGGCGACGTCACTTCGCGAAGATCGACGGCGTATGCTGCTGCTCCCACTTTTATCGCGCGCTTGAAGGTGATCGCGTGGACTTGGGTACTGCGCATGCGGGGTCCTGTCCATTTCGGTAACTCGTGATAGTGCCCCTCGATTTTGATGCTGCAGCTGCCCATCGTCCAGTCGATTCTCGGGTTGTACTGTCGCAGCCAATCCCGTCCCAGCAGCACGTCACACTCGTCGAGTGTAGTCGCCAGTAGCCCCATCCGAAATTTTACGTGCTCGCCGCAGTGGAAACTGACGTGCTCCACCCGCTCCCGTATAGCCAGCGATGTTCCATCCACCAATCTCGCGTCAATTTCGGGTAGGCACTTTAATAAGGGGATACCCATTTTCTTAGCTCTGTCCAGCTGTATGAGACTGTGACTCGCGCCTCCATCCACGAATATTTTCAGCAACACCCCGTTGACTTACCCTCCACCAACACATGGTGATCAGCAGTTTCGTCCCCCTTATTCGTCCGGTCCGGTCGATTGCAGCGATCGGGATCACGACCTGGTGGGGACTGTGTGGTTCGGGCGAAGAAGCCTGTGTGTCAGTAAGGGGCCCGGTACTTACTGGCGCGACCATTTCCCGGTCGCTCCTCCGGCTTCTTCCCCATAGAATTCTGGGTGGCTATGAACTCTTGGCAGTTGCGTTTGATGTGACCCGGTCGGCCACAGTGGTAGCATAGCCCCGTATTTTGCGGAGCAACTGCGTAAATATCCACAGCGTCCATCCCTTTTATCGTGGCGCGCTGGTACTGTTCTCGAAGGCGACCTCCGTCGTAGAAGTTCGTCCTCGGCTTCGTGAGTGAGTCAGCGGCTTCGGCGAGTTGGATGAAGTCTTGTAACCGCTTCGCAGGTCGTTGTAATTTTATTTGGTACTGTATTTCAGGCTTCAGCCCGCCCATGTACCTGTCGACCTTCTCCAACTCGTGCATGTAGCCACATCGATCCACCAACGTCAAGAATGACGCAGTGTAGTCAGACACAGATCCCAGCTGCTTCCACATGCGTAAGGTCTCGCGCGCTTTGTCTGAGTCAGGAGCATGCTCAAACTGCTTGCGAAGCTCTGCGCACCACGTTGCCCACGTGCGAATGTGAGTTGCACCAAACAGCAAAACTGCTTCGTCTTCGTCGCCGAATTCTTCGGACCACTCATGCTGTCCTTCTGTGCGAGTTGCCGCTGATTCGACGATGACCTTCCACCACTGTAGGGCGGCCCCTTGCAGTAGTGTCAACGCGTGGCTGACCCGCTTCTGGTCGTCTTGGATGCCCGCCGCGTTAAAGTAGATATTCATGGCGAATATCCACTGCCGCAGCCGTCACGCCTTTTATTAGCTGGGTCGAAAGGAGCGGGTTGCTGATATCTCACGCCGCCACTTGTCGAGCGCGGGGCTGTAGCCGCTAGCCGTGCCAGCTCCACTGGTGTCGGTTGCTGCTCACCCGCCTCGCTTCGAGCATCGTCGCCCGGCTCTTCTAAACACCTTTCCTGCGTGTGGCGAAGTCCTTGGTTTTCGTCATGGAGGTTGTTGACGACGCTTGTCAAAATGTTCAACTGCTCCATTAATGCTTGCAGGTCTACTGTTTCCCGGGTAGAGTTCGCAGCAGTCGAGGTTGTCTGTTCCTCAACCGTCGAGTCTACCGGGGCCATGGCGGTCAGGACGGGGCAGAAACTAGCGCACACGCTGTAGTTGTTGACGTAAAAATATTTACGATCAAAGGCAACTGCTGTGCAGCCGTGTTAATCCCCTCTGAGCACCCTTAACTAACTAACGGGATAACGGAAGGTTCAGAGAAAGGTCGGGCTCTGATACCAGCTGTTATGATTTAGAAGATGTCAATGAACTATAACGCGAGAATTCAAGGTCGCTATTGCAATGAAAGCACGAGGTTATATAGGAGTAGACGTAATAGGGCGATAACCTCGGGACGTGGGTAGGTTCGGCAATGTGGCGAAGCTGTTGGACGCGACTCGAGAAAGGGTTGGGTCGAAAATGTAGGCCGAACGTGACGAGTCGAAGTGTTCGGGTGTACGCGGTAGCGAGCGACTTAGTAAGGAATGGAAATTCCTTACATGTCCTGTTCGGGCATGTATTATGGCTACACACGTAAAATTGGTAACTGAATTCGGTGTTGAACAGGGCACGTACTTTATTGATACGCCCTGACAAGCAGCAATGTTGTAGTGGCATGTTAGTGGAAAGCGGGATGAGTAGTGGCTGAATAACTTGCATCGCGTACGCAGAAAAGTGTTCACGATGGAAGTCAAGTCTCGTATCGGAGTAGCTAGAAACGCAGTTTTCAGTTTCGGTGTTACGCGGAAGACAACTTCTTTTTGCAGGCAGTGCTCCGCACAGCTGGACAAGTTTCTCCTGCCCGACGAATGAAACCGAGGGTGACTTCACTTTTGCGAGTTGCACTGACCAATCACATGCTCCCTGCTGACACAGCCTTGGGATTCGCTGGCCAATTCCAGACCTGTTTCCTGTCCAGCAGTGTTGCGTGCCAGCCTTCCCTGCCCAGGCCAGCTGTTCCACGTGACATGGTCGGCGAACACGACCCGCGTGAGGGATACAAGGACAGGTGCGAATGATCCAGGAAAGGCGAGCAAGGACGAGCTGGGAAAAGCGACTACTGGTAATGATCGGAGGGCCACGAGCAGGATTTCGTAATTAGGATGGTAATGACTGAAGACTGCGGTAAGGAAAATTATTTGCAGTTGACTAGTAGCTAAATTGTGGCTTAGGTGATCGTATCGGCCGTTGTTTCAGCCACTATTTCCAGGAAAGTGTAGTTTCCAGGGGGCTGTGTCTCGTGGAGGTCGTGAGACCCGAAGAAGCACGATTACCATGGTGTGCTGGTAGCATTTAGCCCTGTTTCCTGTACATATTTAGAACTGTATTACTTGTATAGTCTTCCAGGTGATTTGTATAGCAAGAAATGGCTCAGTTGCTTCTGGCTCGGCTGTTAGATTGGGGAAATCCTAGAGACGATGGATCAACGTGGTGGTCAGAGAGACGAGACGACGATGATGCAGAAACATCCTCCGACGACCTGTCTGAAGATTTCAACGAACCGCCGGAACTTCCGGAGGATGTTCTTATTAATTGCTTCCAACACCTTCGCTCGTATCATGACATTGCAAGGCAAGTTGTCCTCATTTCTCGCCCATTCCGCAAAATTTTGTCCCAGGTTTCACGGCATTTTGTCTCGTTTCTCGCACGACTCATTTGACATTCTTCTAGATTGGATTTTCTTATTCTCTGTGCGCCCTTCGCCTGCTGCAGTGCCGCCAGGGTTTCGAGATCATGGCACAGTGCAGCGGTGCGATTGTGGGGGCATCGCCAACGCCTGACCTTCGCCAAGTGCCGTAACCCGGAGATTGCCTTGCCATCGATCATTCCCATGGCCTGCGTCGTCACCGACATTGACCTGTACGTGCATCCTTATCTCGACATCAATCCATGTTGACCCTTCTGTTACTCTACTGGCGTTCTGCCTGGCATTTCCACAGTTCCAATATGGAAGGTTATGGGTCGCATTGTGCTTCTTTCACGCGCATGCTGTGGCTTTTCCTTGTGCAGGTGTGGGTGCCGATTGTCAGATGCATCACTGGAGGCTGCCAGCATGGCTACTCCTGTCTGCCAGCTTCAATCATTGTCCCTGTGGGGTGTGAAGGGTGTCTCTGACGCTGGCATCTGTCGACTGGTGAGTCTCTTGCTATGGTTTCCGCGTTGCAGATGCGATTGAAAGTTATCACAGCCTACTAATTGTCGTTCTTACAAGGCTTGCAAGTGAGGTATGTCAGCTGAAACACTTGTACAAAGTACAATGCAGGCTGTACAAAGTTTATGGTAATTCCCCTTGAATCTGCTTCCACTCATGCAGGTGATGAAGTGCAAGAGCCTCAAGCATCTCAACTTGGGAGGGACCTGTGTCACATCATCTTCAATCTTTACCATTGCCCGTTCGTGCCCTTCGCTGGAGGTTGGTACTCTTGGGCCCTAATCAAGGGTTATTCTTGCTCTCTTTAGCAATGCCGTCATTTTCCAATACTTCAGCTACGTCACACATTCATGAGCATGATTTCGTCTCCACCCCGCGCTTGTTGCAGATTTTGAATCTTTGGGATGTCGTAAAGTGACAGATAAAGGAATTCTCGCAGTGGTTGCGGGATGCATGCATCTGAGAGAACTCAACTTGTGGGGTGTGCCGCTATCTTTTCATTGCCTTGCATACCTCATGTCTCGCTGCCCAGATCTTGAGATCAAGCCTACGCCAGGGGTTGGATCTGGTTTCCCTGCGTATGGCATTGTGAGGCAAGCAGCGGACCTAACAATTGCCCTTATACGATAGTGAGAGCTTGACTCTTGTAAACCATGTTGTCTACTAGTATGAGAAACATTGAAGCATATGGCTTTCATATATTGTGAATACTACGTTACTCAATGGGTAGTCCTCGTTCGTCAGCCATTTCGTCAGACCTTTGGCGCCTGAGTCCTCCTGACCGAAGGGTCCCTGAGTCCTGGCCCAACGGCGTGGTAGCCGTTGGCGCGCTGTGTCAGAAACTAGCTTAGCTAGGAAGCCATAGAATGGCACAAGGTTTAGCTAGGAGCTAGGAGGAGCCATGAGAATGGCGAGAGGTTTTAGGTGCTAGGAAAGTTGAGGAGAGAAAAGGTGTTGGATTAGAAGAGAGGGGAGTACAAGGAGGGGTTTGTACCCCCTACAGAAAGGTTCAGTAACAACCTACCAAGCCTATATTAAATTATAACTTATATAATTTGAACACACCCCCTAGGCTTGGTAGTCACATGCCCACACACACCCACACCCCCTAACCTAGCACCCCCATTCCAGCCACAGTGACAGCGACTCTAGGTCGGTCGACCCCACGGCGCGTGAGGCGGCGACGTCGACCGCAGGGGCTGCGGCGGCGACGGCGGCAGCGGCGGCAGTGTCGACAGCGGCAGCGGCGGCGGCGTGCGGCTGCGTGGCCCCGACGCAAGCGGCGACAGCGGCGGCGGCGGCGGCTTCGACAACAGCGGCAGCGGCGGCGGCACCCGCACCTCTCGGTGACGTGGCCAGGCCCCGCGACGGTGGGACGGCCGGCGGGAGTCAGCCGTCGTCTGCGGAATGGAAGAGGGCACAAGGGAAGGAGGGGGGTGGGGGGGGGGGGGCGCCACAGGCTGACATGCGGGCGGCCGGTCTAGCGGCGCCACAAGCGTCACGCGGCCGGCTGCAGCCCGACGACGCCGTCATGGAGCGGCGTCGATGCCGCAGCGGGGCGTCGACGTTGCGACGGCAGCACGACGTCGCCGTTACGCCGACCGCGCGCTGTCGCGTAGACGCCGCGGCAGCGTGACGGCGCCGTCACGTCGCGACAGCATCTTGACGCGACGGCGGAGCTGCGGCACGACGGCGCGGCCACAGCAGCTGGACGCGGGCGCCATGGACGTCGACGGCGGCGCCGCGGCGACGACGCGGCCACAGCAGCTTGACGCGGCCGCCATGGCAGCGCGAGATAGAGAGAGAAACGAGCACGCAGCGGAAACGCGAGGAGCAGGCCCACGCGGAACGAACTGCTCTAATACCATGTCAGAAACTAGCTTAGCTAGGAAGCCATAGAATGGCACAAGGTTTAGCTAGGAGCTAGGAGGAGCCATGAGAATGGCGAGAGGTTTTAGGTGCTAGGAAAGTTGAGGAGAGAAAAGGTGTTGGATTAGAAGAGAGGGGAGTACAAGGAGGGGTTTGTACCCCCTACAGAAAGGTTCAGTAACAACCTACCAAGCCTATATTAAATTATAACTTATATAATTTGAACACGCTGAGCTCCCTGAGAATTACGATTCCTTAAAAGGAATCGCCACAGCAAGTACCGCGAACAGTGCGCGTCCGCAGGCTTGGCCCTTGGTTATAGCGCCAAACCAGCCCCCGTCGACCTTTTCAGCCCCAACCTGACCCCGAGTCGCCCCGAACCCCGTCACCCTCGGACTATCGAGCTCTTGACTGGTCCAACCTTCGACATTCAACCTGGTCAACTCGCACTATATAAGCCCTAAGCCTCATTATTCAAGATCATTAAGTAATCACATTCCCCTTGTAGTATTCTGCGCTATACTCTGAGCTATAATTCATAACAGTAGTCCTCGTTCGTCAGCCATTTCGCCAGACCTTTGGCGCCTGATGTCAAACATGTGTATTAGTTATGTTTGAATAGACTGTATAAGGTCACCTCTTAGAGGGTACAATACTTAGGTATATCTATCTGTACTCTCCCACTAGTCGATTATTCACTTCTCTCAGTTTGATATGGTATCACGTGTAGGTTAGGATCCCCCCACCTACCGCTTCCGCTCGTCCCCTAGCTAGGCCCCGCCGTCCCCCTAGCCCTGCTGCGCCCTTCCTGGGCCCCGTTGCGACCCCCTAGCCCCGTCGCGACCCCCTTAACCGTGTCGCGACCCCCTGGGCCCCGTCGTGCCCCTAGCCCTGCCGCGCCCCTCCTGGGCCCCGTTGCGACCCCCTAGCCCCGTCGCGACCCCCTAGCCCTGTCGCGACCCCCTGGGCCCCGTCGCGACCCCTAGCCTCGTCGCGACCCCCTGGGCCCGTCGTGCCCCTAGCCCTGCCGAGTCCCTCCTGGGCCCCGTCGCGACCCCCCAGCCCAGTAGCGACCCCCTGGGCCCCGTCGTGCCCCTAGCCCTGCCGCGCCCCTCCTGGGCCCCGTCGCGACCCCCTAGCCCCGTTGCGCCCTGCCCGGCCCCGTCGCCCCCCGCCCGGCCCCGTTGCACCCGCCCGGCCCCGTCGCCCGCCGCCCCGTTGCACCCCCCGGCCCCGTCGCGCCCGCCCGGCCCCGTTGCGCCCCTCCTGGGCCCCGTAGTGCCCCTCCTGGCCCCGTCAAGCCTTCAGGCCCCGTCTCCCCCTGCCCGGCCCCGTCGCACCGCCCGGCCCCGTCGCACCCGCCCGGCCCCGTCGCACCCGCCCGGCCCCGTCGCACCTGCCCGGCCCCGTTGCGCCCTGCCCGGCCCGCCGCACCTGCCGGGCCCCGCCGCACCTTCCCGGCCCCGTTGCTCATCCTGCCTTGGCCCCTTCATCCTCACTGGTACGGTTCCCCCCTCCCTGCACCGCCCTGCCCGCACTGCACTTCCCTACACCGCATTGCACCGCCTGCACCGCCCCGCACCGCACTGCACTGCCCTCCACCGCACTGCACCGCCCTGCACTGCCCTGCTTTGTACTGCACTTCACTGCACTGTACTGTCCGCCTGCACCGCCCCTGATGGCGGCGGAGCTTCGGTTCGACGCTGAAGGCCAGCCTCTGGAGTTCGAGGCGTGGCTTGCCGACCTCCGGCGCCAACTCACTGGCCAGCGGCAGGATGGTGAACTGCTGTCCGCACACCTTGACGGTATGCTCCCCTGCCCAGACCCCCCTGCTGTTCTGCCCGCTGACTCCACACCCACTGAGCGCGATCTACTGCTGCCACTGCCCGTGCGCGCTCTGTCTGGCTTTCTCGCGATGCTGTCGCTCAGCTTGCCATTAGCAACGCCCTTCCCCCGTCCGAGCGCCCTCGCTTTAGGTCCCTCACTACACTCAGGCTTACTTAGATGCTGTCATCAAGCGCTATTCCACCCCTCCGCTGCCTCGGTGGGTCGCCTGATCCTCCCGATGCTCTTTCCTGACCTTGCGTCTTTCCCCACTGTCTCTGACCTCGCTGCCCACCTGCGCTCGATAGATGAACCTGGCGCGCTGCCTGCACTGACGCACAGCTTAGAGCCCACCAGCCGCCCATTACCTCTACCCTTTACCTGCTTGCCACCCGCCTCCCTGACTGCCTTGCTGTCGCCCGCGACCGCTTCCTTAGCATTCACCCCGCAGACCTCACCCTCACTGACTTTGTAGACACCCTGACTGTGATTGAGACCCGCCACCGCTCCATCGCCCAGGCGAGTGGTACCGTGCCGGTCCCTATCTTTCAGGGTTGTGCCCCCGCTCAGTGTACCTTCTCCGACGGCTCTGCCACTGTGGCTGAGACTGCTGCTGCAGCGCAGTTTCGTTCGGGGAAGGGCCGCCGCCCCAAGGTTGGGCGCGGCGGAGGAGGCGGGGGTGCGGGAGGGGGTGGTGGTGGAGTCGGGTCGTCTGGTGCTGGAGCGGACGAGGGGACCCTGCCCAGTCCAGCTGAGCCGCCGCCCCTGCAGTCGCAGCAGCAGCAGCAGCCGCAGCAGCCGCCGCAGTCGCAGCAGCCGCAGCCTTCGCAGCAGCCGCAGCAGCCGCCGCAGACAGGCAGACGAGTGTCCTCCCGCCCGGGTGGCCCGGCGCTGGCGGTGGTCGGGCGCGTGGTGGTGTGCTGAGTGGTGGTTCTGGAGGCGTGCGTTGTCAGTACCAGATCCAGACCGGTCCTCGCCGCGGCTTCGTTTGCGGTAAGATCTGTCACTCCACTCCCCGCTGTTTTCGTCGCCTGGACGACCTGTTTCGTCAGCGCTTCGGCCCGTCGCCAGACCTCCCGGACTGGCACAGTTTGCTTAGTCGTAAGATTCAGATTTTTGACATGGACATGGATGCCATTGTTTCTGTTTTGCATGTGATGTATGCTGATGACTCTAGTGTGCTTCCCGCTTATTACTCACTGTCGGCTAGTGTAGGTGTGCCTAGCTTAGCCTCCCCTGCTGCGTCAGGCGTAGGATCCCCTGCTTTGTGTAGTCTTGGTGCTTCCGTCGTCGTTCCGTCGCCAGACGCCTCTGCTTCGCTTTCCTTCACCTTGGACTCTGGCTCTTCCCGGTGTTTCTTCCGCGACTTCACCACATTGACGCCGCTTCCTGTTCCTGCTGCTGTTTCTCTTGCTGACCCCTCCGGCGGTCCGGTAGTCGCCCGCAGTTCCACCACCCTTCCCTGTCCGGCGGTTCCTTCGGGCTCTCTCACAGGTCTGCATATCCCCTCGTTCTCCAGGAACCTAGTTGGTGTCGGCTGCCTCCAGGACCTTGGCGTCACCACTACGTTCCCTGGTCACGAGCGGTATGCTGTCTGTACCGAGGCTGCCACGGGTGCCCCCCTGTCCACGTTCCCCCGGGACCCGGTGTCCGGCCTGTTCACTCTGGACACCGTAACCCCCCCGGCTGGGGCGCTCCCTCAGGTGGCTGCGTCTACCCAGGTTGCTGCTGCCTGCTCCTGTCGGTCCCTCACTCACCCGACTCTCCTTTGGCACCACCGCCTTGGTCACCCTGCGCTCCCGCGTCTGCGTCACATGTCCCAGCACGGTCTTGTCCTTGGTCTCCCAGGTTCTCTCCCCGCGTTTCCCTCCTCCCCAGCCCCACCTTGCACGCCTTGTGTCGAGGGTCGGCTTCGCCGTGCCCCTCACTCCTCCTCGTTTCCCCCTACCGCCGCGCCGCTGCAGACCCTGCACCTAGACGTCTGGGGCCCCGCCCCCGTCCCTGGGCCGCGTCGCGAGCGCTACTTCCTTGTGCTTGTCGACGACTTT